AAAACAGTCTGGTCGGCAATGAGGGCTGCAAACACCCTCTCGGGTGGTTGTCTCCCAAGGTCCCATGTTCTGAGCGCAGCCGGTTGGTGTGACTTTCAACTTCCCTCATACATAGAGTGTTTCCATTTTCTCACAAACTCTCAAGTTCGCCACGTCTAAACTCTCTCCCTGAGCCAGTCCGGGCTCCGCACCTAACCCGCCTTCAGAAATGGCCTGGGAGACGTGGGACCTGTTCTTCTCCCTCCACCTCTCCCCTCCTGCCTCTTCGGTCCCCTCCCCGCCACTCCTTCGGTCCAAACCGCTGGTGAATTCGGTTCATCCGATTCTCCAGTCTTGTCCCAATCACTCTGCTTCCCTGCCCTCTGCTCCCGGCCCAGGCCCGCTGCCCACACCGGCTCCCTCCAGGCAGCGGCCAGAAGGACTTCAGAACCGCAAATCTGGTTGAGCCACTGCTGCTTCAAACCCTTCAACGGTCCTCGGTGCTCTTCAAGCCCAACCCTGCCCTCTGCCGCCCTCCCACCTGGGCCTGCGGCAGGGGCCCCCTGCTATCCTTGGAACACGCCCAGGCTCTGCACCCGCCCAGCTCTGCACCCGCCCAGCTCTGCACCCGCCCAGCTCTGCACCCGCCGGAGCCCTGGGGCTCAGGCCGCCTCCAGCTCTACCGGCTGCTCCTTCCCAAACCTCAGGTCCGGCCTCGACGTTGGTTTGTGAGTGAGGCCACCTCCCTTATCACACCTTTTGCATCTTCTCACGGATCACAATTTGTTGCTTATAATTATTTAGTGGCAGAGAGCGGGGGACGAGATGTCTGAATTGGTTCTCGTTAGTTCCACTGGTTTTTCTGAGGACATCTGGGTAACGTACATCTTAAATTCCTTTTGGTAGATGGTTTAACGTTATGTCAGTGGGCAGTTCTTAAAACATACTGTAAAAAGTCCTACTTGAGAGTGATGTTATGTCATCCATCATAATTTAAAAGTTGGCTCTGATGCCAAAACCATATCTCATTTTAAAAAGCATTAATACTTCATAAACTATGGATGGACAGAAATGAAGGGTTCTACAGATCCACAGTGTTTGGGTGTCATTTCAGGGGAAATTGGAAAACCACTCGGGCTGCTAAGAAGAACATATGTAATAAAAACCTGGGTAATTGCATTATGAATTTAGTAAGTATGCTCTGTAAGACACTGGAAGATAAATTACGTGTGATTTTATAGGAAAAGAAGAAAGTATGATGTACTGAGATATTTTGACAAAGAAGTTACCTAATATATTCCTTAGACCTTAAAACTGAAACACAGCTGTAATTATTAACTTTAGTTATAAAGTATCCTTCAAGTCTCAGCTTCGATAAAAACCAGACCGTTCAGAGGTTAGAGCCCTGTCGGCTGCAACACGGTTTACACTGTTGTTGCAGGTGAATTTACACTGAATTTACACTTGCTACACTTCGATTTAGAAGAGACCAGGCTCTTTCTGTTTGCTGCTGTGTTAATTGTTCTGTTTAAAACTTACCAACCACATCTGTTTTTTACTAAGCACTTACAATTTTTTGCATGCATAAACGCATCAATAAACGCTGTAGTATGATATGAAACGTACTAATCCACCCACCAGTTATAGCCTAGAATCTTGGATTTACTCACCTACCAAAAAAAAAAAAAAAA